AAACTTTATCTAAAAAGTGAAGCTGATGATGGATTACTGTGGTGGAGTTAAAATAACAATAGCCTATTTCTTTTTGAAATGTGATGGAGTAAAAGGAAAGTAACTGTGATTATTCATGATAAGTAGCCCACAAGTAACTAAAACAATTGCAAGTGCAATAAGAAGCTACAGGAACGTTAATCTACGTCGGTAATATTAACTTTATTTAATACAACATTTACGGTACAAGATTTACATCATACAGCCCATGTAGTATAATATTTTACAAATGATGAATTACAGCAAACATGTGCAATATATATATCTATTATTACATCTCCGTGGGCTGGCAGTAAGGCGATATGGTCCGTTGTTATTGTCATCCATGGGTAAAGAGAAACTCATGTAGTACTGAACACATAACATGAACGTGCCGGGCGGCGCGGTCCCGTGGGTTAGATGCGCGTTCATAATGCCGAGGGAAATAACTCTCAGAATAACGTTATTAGCACATTTTTACAACTTGAGGAACGAATGTTTTTAATAAGGGCTATACAAACGTTCATACTGGGTAGTTTATTTAGTTTAAAAAAAATTATCCAACGAGTTACAGACCACTCTTTCCCAATGTAAGTCAATGGGAAAAAGTGTTTCCGGGCCCAGCAACCAAAAGGAAGTGTAGTACCGCCGTTTGACCAGCATGAATATTCTCATCAGACTCCGGCGCACTTCCTGGGGGCTTGGTAGCCACACTCGCAGCTCAACGAGGCTCCCTCCTGTCAGATGGAGGGAGTAAACACAGCAGCAAGCTCCCCTCTCTCCGGCAGAAACAGGAAATGCCGTAACTGTATGTAACAACGGTTTCAAATCAGCATCTCTTAGACAAAAAGTTTAAATGAATAACTCAAATAAAACTCCAAACATCTTTCATTGTGTTTCAAAGCTCTTTTAGTTTTAAACCTGATGTTTATAAGCTTCTTAGTTTTTGCAACGGTCTGTAAATATACACAACTTTATAATAAAATGCACAGATTTACCTTTTTCTAGACTAAACACAGGTATGATCCTAAGTTAAAAACATATGTAGCTCAGCGTAAGTTCAATCAGGAAGACAACATCATCGGGTGTCACACGTTATTTCAATAAGTGATCAGGGGCATTACGCCCCGGCTAGCCAATCATTGCACCTGCTAACCTCTTTAAATCTGCTCTCCCCTTCCTGTCAGTTGTCATTTCAGGTGTCAACGCACAAGCAGCAGCAGGGCTTCGCCCCAGCTCCAGGCATTATTCATCAGCTCCGCAGTCTTGCGGATTAAGCTACAAGCGGCGTCCCCCAGTCGGCTAGCGGTTTCAGCCGGCCGCCCCGCAAACCCGGACGCGGGAGGAAAAGACAAGGAAATCGGGCTCCACGGAAGTTCCTCCGGCTAATGGAAATGGGCTACTTCACGCAAACAATTGACGCACGCCTTCAGTCTCTCAAGAGGGCATCACCGGCATCAGGGCCGCTCAAATGTGGCGCTTCCGGCTTCACGCGGAACGGGTCCCCATCGCATGCGAAGCTTTACCCATTGGCTTCAACCACAACCCCTCCTGCAGGCAGGCAGGGCGTAAGCTACATCCCATTGAAGCTACTTCCTCCTGCGCCTCACCTCTAAAACAGGCGTCAGGGTAGCGCTGGCAAGAGGCAGTTGCAACAAATTCACGAGATGTTTCGTATATCGTTATGACATTTGGGTCATCCAGAGTGAGATCGCTACCCCTTTAAGAGAGGGGTGTGGCGCGTGCCCGTGTGCGCGGGCATGGTATGGTAGAGCGAGCGAGATACAGGTTTTCTAGAAATAACGAGGCAGCAGAAAAAGGAAGGTCTGTGATCTTGCGAAACAGAAGAGCTAAATAAATGCAACGACCTCCCAAGAAGAGCTCGCCTTCTCCAGTATCTCCGATAAATGGGTTATTGAACCCGAAGCGTGTTGCTTCTGCCCTGGGAGACGACAGATAGTCATCCCCCCCCGTTTCCTCGACTACGGTCTGGGAGCCGACAGGAAGTTCAACACTATGCATTGCTACCTTTAGTTCAGGGTTAGGTGAGTCCCAGCAGGCAGTGTTGGGTGTAACGTGTTACAGTATGGAGTTCAGTAACGTATTACTTGCATTACTAATGCAGTTTGGGTAATTACTACCCATTACAATGCTCAGTAACTAACGCAGTTTCAAGCTCCAACACAGTGTTACCTGAAATAAATGGCGTTTCGTAGGGCTTCTTTTCCTCAATGACCAAGTCGCTGCACATTATCCTGTTTATGACACGACCAGATACTAAATAAATTAGGATTCACTCCCAATATTAATTTAATGATTATTGACAATGATCGTATTTTTCTCTCTTTCTTCTCCACTAAGAATATTCCGTTTCCCGTTGCACCAACGGCTGGATTTGCGACAAACACATCTCCTCGGCAGTAGGGGTGCAACAACTAATCGACTTAATCGATTACGAAATTAGTTACCAACTCATTCAGTCGTCGATTCATTGGTGACGTCATCACGTGTGTTTTACGCGCCGTTAAGTTCCAACGTATTGGTCTTTTATCGGTACCAGAGACATTTATAAATATATGTCATGCATTATTGCTAAAAAACATTATATCGCAGTCTGAGTGTCGCCAACTCGTTTCTAATATGCAAGACAACAAATGCGTCTATGATGTATTTTCGATCAGACGAGATCTCTCCCCCGTCTGTGTGCGAGGGGGCGGGGCAGTTTACACACACGCAGCTGCTTCATGCAGCGGAGCACACTGCGGAGATGGCGGAGAGAACGCGCTCCGAGGTGTGGTTAAACTTTACCCGTCTCGATGTGGAGAATACTTGTTACCATAAGTGCAATAAGAGTTTAGCATGTAAGGGCGCACGAGCAATTTGTCTAAACATTTAGCAAAAGTGCACCGAATGCAGACGGAGAAATGCACCGGGTTCGACCGTCTTTCTATCAGCCCTGTAGCCCCATTCACGAGTACGTTTCCACGTCAGGTGTTATGTATGCTAGCAGCAACACACGGAGTTAACTACATTATACAAACATGGGTTAATGATTAGAGGTAACTGAGTTATTTAGTTTGTTAAATTTCAGCTATTCTGTTTACAGTCTGTCATCAGATTATTTAATACGTTTTGTTAAAGGCTCAGGGCAATCTCGATGACAAAGGTCAATGTTCCCCCCTTTCTACGCACGGAGATAATGTAATCTTAATAGTGTGCAGGCCAAGGCTGGCTCTTCAAAGCAGATATTAACGACGCGCTTTAGAGTTCCCATCATCGTTCAGCGGAACTCTTTCAGCCTTAAGCGGCAGTCAAGTAAGGAGAAACTACGTGTGCACCGGCTATTCGGGTAAATAATATTAATAGCTGTCTCTCCCCAGTTCAAATCACCCACTGCTCAGGGAGATCTCCTCATGCGTTGCTTTACGCATCTAGTGTTCAAATACAACATTACTAACCTATAACTCCGCTCAACTGGGAAAAGAGAAGAAGAAAGAAGAAGAGAATCCTCCAGGAGCACAGCGTTCCTAATCATGAGGAACTATAGGCCCAGTCACACACCTGGAGTTCCTAGGCATCACATCAAGCTCATGGTATTAACGTTCCTCTAACCAAACTGCGTGCATCCACATAAACGTCTTCAACGACAGTTGCTCTTCCTCATCGGGCAACCGTACTTTACATGCGGATATTCTTCGGCACGCCATCATCTCCCGTTTCCTGGACGTGGCATCCGTCGGCCTCACGGCGACCGCGTTTTCCCCGACTAAGGACGTGCACCGCACATCCTCCGTTTTGGGGGGGACATCTGCATGAGATCATCCACATAGCGGCACACTCAGATTTCCACTATTGCTACACATTTATTATCACACTCGCTGGATCTAACGCCTCGAAAGAAGAAGTCAATCTAAAAAGCATCCGGGGCCTCTTAGCAGGAGTGCAGTTTAACGTTCGCTGTTCCGATCCCGGCTTTCCCAGCTGTTCGCAAAACAGTCAGTCAAACTCATCCTCAAAGGTCTCATTAGAACTTCTCCCCCCGTCTTAGACCGGAGACGCCCTATTACACTCTCCACTTTACGCCTCATGCTCTCCAAACTTAGAAGTGAGTTATTCTCCCCTTATATCAATGCGCTACTCGACGCTCTATTTCTCCTAGCTTTTATGCCTTTCTCAGACAGGTGAATTTACCACAGCTTCCCTTACATTCGATTCCATTCGAGACGTCAGCTTCTGACATATCCTTTCACGCTAGCCACTTTAGCTTATATCTTAAACACTCCAAATGCGGCGGCGCTGCTCCGTCATCGCCGCCCGCATCGACTCCCAGTTCTACCCTTATAAATCCATGATCAAATTCCTGCATCTTAGACCTTCCATTAATCCTCTCTCACCACTATTTCTTATTTCAGGGGATATTCCCTTAACTCAACACCAGTTCAATCATTACTTAAAGCAAGTTCTCATTAGATCCGGCTTATCGCCCCAATTATTCTCGGGGCATTCGTTCAGGATAGGCGCAGCTACCTCCGCTGCTAATCAAGGCGTCTCATCCTCATCCCTGCAACAACTCGGACGATGGTCCTCCTCTGCCTTCACATCCTACATCCGCCCGGACATCAGTGCCGTGCTGGCTATCCAAAGGTCCCTCAAACACTAAAAGATGGTAAATATACCTATAACTGGTGGTGGTAACACGTCAGCATGTATACGTGTCTACGGTTCCGTATCTGTCAGGCTATGACTCCGGATCTGCGTATGCTAATCCTGCAAGTGCAGGTTGCGAACGTGGGTCCGAGTCACGTTGCGGACACAGGTCCGCGGTTAGGTTTAACCCTGCGGGTGCAGGTTGCGGACACAGGTCCGCGCTTAGGTTTAACCCTGCGGGCGCAGGTTGCGGACACAGGTCCGCGCTTAGGTTTAACCCTGCGGGCGCAGGTTGCGGACACAGGTCCGCGCTTAGGTTTAACCCTGCGGGCGCAGGTTGCGGACACAGGTCCGCGCTTAGGTTTAACCCTGCGGGCGCAGGTTGCGGACACAGGTCCGCGCTTAGGTTTAACCCTGCGGGCGCAGGTTGCGGACACAGGTCCGCGCTTAGATTTAACCCTGCGGGCGCAGGTTGCGGACACATGTCCGCGCTTAGGTTTAACACTGCGAGGGCAGGTTGCGGCCAGTGGGTCTGCGTCATGTTAACCCTGCAGTGCAGGTTGCGGCCAGTGGGCCCGCGCATGTCTAACCCCGCAGCCCGGAAGCGATTCCGGCGCTCATCATGTCCCCATGTTAATCTCTCTTTTCATCCATAGATCTCCGCAGCCAGCCGCAAGGTAAGGATTGCTCACAGCTCCGTACTTCATACTTCACTTCTTTTGGGGGTTCATCAGAGCGGTTCTTTCCCTCCTGAATGATCATCCTGCAAACCCGGGGCCTAATCGCCAAAACATCATTACAGTTACTTGTTGTAATACGTCAATCACTATTCCCGCATATCATGTGTCCCGATAATAAACATGTACTCATACATCACGTCTCTCCCGATTGAAATGTAGCTCAGCGTAAGTTCAATCAGGAAGACAACATCATCGGGTGTCACACGTTATTTCAATAAGTGATCAGGGGCATTACGCCCCGGCTAGCCAATCATTGCACCTGCTAACCTCTTTAAATCTGCTCTCCCCTTCCTGTCAGTTGTCATTTCAGGTGTCAACGCACAACCCTCCTCCACCCCTTCGCCTCCTGTCTCCTAAATACAGGGCCAAGCTAAACCTTCTCCCTTCAGATCGGACTGAACTACTATCACCACCACCAGTGTCTAGACCCCGGGGGGTTCATCAGAGCGGTTCTTTCCCTCCTGAATGATCATCCTGCAAACCCGGGGCCTAATCACCAAAACATCATTACAGTTACTTGTTGTAATACGTCAATCACTATTCCCGCATATCATGTGTCCCGATAATAAACATGTACTCATACATCACGTCTCTCCCGATTGAAATGAGGTTATCATGAGGTTGTTAACATCGCAGTTTATCAGTGGATGTTTGCTGGAACTACTTGTAAACAGCATGTTTCCTGACGGACACACACAGCGTGACTCCGGTCAGGTAGAGACCGGTGTCAGCATAGATATGGAGAGGCGAAGTCACGCCCATCTACTTCCGGACCATGGGACCCCGGAAGCGAAACATTTACATTGAATTCAATGGAGAGAGAACACGTATCTTTTGATCCCGTTTGAATTGTGCCACGAACTACACATATGATGTTTGTCAATCTTAAACAATCATTTCCATGTCAAAAAAGTCACATTTTGTCGTAAAACTGCTGAAATATAAGACTATGAAAAATACGCTACTACAAAGACTACAAATCCCAAATCCCATTCTGGGTCGCGTAAGTGATGTCACAGGCGATAATGCTCCAAGTGGTTGGTTCACTTTTACAAGATGCCTGTGTGCTTTGTACCAGGTTGTAATCACAAAAGTGATCATACCACTTGCTCGTTCTATCGCTTCCCGTCTGATGAAAGGACCAGGAGTCGCTGGATCAGACATATCAGGTAATATCATAGGTAATATACATGTTGTGCATGGAACATAGTCAAGTTAGCTACCTAGCTAGTAGCGACGAGTAGCGAGCACGTTAGTTAGCATTACATTACTTAGCCTTGTCATTTTTAGTAGCCTTACCATGAAGTTATTATTTTATTACATGAAGTAAACCAAAATGTTAAACAGTAACCAAACATGATGGTAAGTATTTCGTGAAACATTTGAAGAGTAGCCTACTGCGCCCTCCACCGGGTGCTAAGGAAGCAGTTCAGGGAGAGTCGAAGGCAGGCAGGGAGCTTTGCATGTCATTCTTCTGGACGTGTTTCATTGTGATGACAATCTGTTTGTTGGAAAGACAGTCGTTGTGTGCTTATTGAGAGAAAATTGTTAGAAGAGATAATTATTCAAAGTGTTGTTACTTTAAAGTGTTGTTACTGACCTTTTTCTCTTTTATTTTCTTTACCTCACCTGTAACTGCTGAGACGTTGAGGAACATGCACACTGACCTGCTCTGGCAACCTGATTTCCACAACATGCTGTGCGCACTGCGCGCGTCATTAAGCCAAGTCTCTCTCTCTCTTTCACACACACACACACACACACGGCGCGGTGCGCACCGTGTGCGTCATTAAGCCAAGTCTCTCTCTCACACACACACACAGCGCTGTGCGCACCGCGTGCGTCATTAAGCCATGTCTCTCTCTCTCTCACACACACACACACACACACACACACACACACACACACACACACGGCGCTGTGCGCACCGCGTGCGACATTACGCATAGGTGAAAGCGAAAACAGGCTATTTAAAATAGACTATACTCTACTCTTCATGCATAAATGCAGACACACCCCAAAATCTTTCAACATCAACATAGCCAGGGCTGGCATCATTAAGTAAATGAAAAGCATGTCTACCTTTAGAAGAGTTGCAAGCGGCGAGTGCTGGTGCTGAACCTCAAGAGAATGGTGTTCTTCCATTCGGTTGTGCATTTTCTTGTTAAGTCTCTCTCAAACGCAAGTTGAACCAGCTGGGCCTTTCTTTTGTGGAGCATTGCACGTCTATGGTCCGAAAAAACGTTCCTTAGAGTGGAGAATGAATTCTCGCACATTGCTGTGGAGGCGCCAAATGTTAAGGCATGTTTGAAAGCAGTCATTACGCTTGGCATTGCCTTAAGGTGCGTGTGGTAATTGGAGAGGATGTGCTGTATAGTCCAATCCCCCTCGATTGGCTGTGACTGTTTTTGCATGCTGAAAAACTGTTTTGCAACTTCGTACTCTGCCTCAATTACAGGCGATCCCGACAGGTCCATAATGTGCTTCACAGCCTTTGCATCAAGGAATGTGTCGCTTTCTGGATTCAGCGCAGCAAGTGATTTGGCCAGCTGCGAGTTGCGCTCGCTGAATCTCTGATCCATTTCTCCAAGCACTGAATCAATCGTGCTGTAGTACAGTCTCTGAAGTTCTGTTTTGTCATCATCCCTGTGTCCTGTAGTTCCCTCGACTACATACCAATCCATAGTCGGGTTGGCTCTGCGTCTCCGTTTGGGCACTTCGGGTCTCGGAGTAGCGCTGGCAGCCATGGCCATGTCCCACACTTTGTTAAACTCCTCACCACAACGGAGTTTGCGTACACAAGCTGTTGCACAAGCCACGAGACTTAAACCTGTCATCAAGTCAGTATTTTCTCTCTGTAAAATCTTGTTTGGTGGGTCCAGCAGGGCAAGAACTGTGTGCACTAACTGAGCAATGAATGGGAAACTGGGCTCAGTCATCTCACGCAGCAGGCCTGTTGCTTCCATTCGTATCTCTGCGCCGTGGGCCATCACAGAATTAATGTCAGTCAAAAGGGTTGTTATGTCGTTGAAGGATTTTATAATTACAGACACAGTGGCAAGATGTCCTGTCCATCTCTGTTCCAGAAGGCGTTTAAGGTGCACACCCTTATAATGCACAGCAACTGTGGGCTTCTTGCAGAACTTGTAGAGGGCATTGCACACATGAAAGAAATCCACTAAAGCTGTCTCTGCTGACATAGCATGTACTACAACTAAGTGTAGCTGGTGGTTCAAACAGTGTACATAAGGAATCTCACGACCTAGTTTCTTTTGCAGGAGCTTCTGGACGCCACCATGTTTCCCAGACATCAGAGCAGCCCCATCAAATACCTGGCTTAGTATCTTTGATGTGTCCAGTCCAACTTTGTTGAGCTCTGCCACGACTGTGTCCGTTAATGTCTGTGCATCATCTTTGTCAGCTGTCGATATGATCAGCAGGCGCTCTGTGACGTCATATGTCTCATTTACAAATCGAATGACAATCGAAATGTTTTCACACCCCGTGGGGTCACGGGTTCCATCTACTTTCAGTGTGTAAAAGGAGTCTCCTATTTCCTCCACTATAGCCTCAGTCACCACATTGCTGAGTGTACTTATGAGTTCATTTTGCATTTCGTGACAAGTGTAAGTGGCGTTTCGAGGGATTGATTTCACTACATCAGCCAATTCGGGGTCTTTTTTGATCGTATAGTCCAGCAGGGAGAGGAAAAGGCCACTGCCCCCCTCTGACATGTTATCAAAAGCCTCTATCTTCCCTCGTAAAGGCAGCTGGTTTTCCACCAGAAATCCAACCACATCAATAAGAGAGGAGATATAATACCTGTTTTTTCGTAGTTGGTCTGCGTTAACAAGTGTAGAAATCTCTTTTCCAGTGCTGGCACGCCTCTCTCGCTCCTTCCACATTGCATAGCAAGAGAGATGCTCCTTTGAATTTGCATGTTTATGAAATCCCTTGTCTCTCTCCACCGCATTTTTCCAGTTACGGAAACCAACAGACATAAATGCATCCATTCTCCGGGTTTTGCTAGACTGCCGACAGCAGAAACAAAATGCAGCATCGGCCTTGACACTGTATTCAAGCCAGTCTCGGTTGTGATACCAAGCAGAGACAAACGAACGCCTCCTGCCAGTGAGGATGCTGTAAGGGTACTGTTTTAAGACAATTTGGTTGGGCTAATCAGTTCCAAGATCATCTATGGGTTGATTTCCAGCGCTAACGTTAGCTGCAGCAGGTGGATGGGCTTGGCTAGCAGGTGGTGTATATTGGCTGGTCGAAGAGCACGGCTCCAGCTCTTCAGAGGTGGTGCCGGCGATGCTGGAGCTGGGTTCATTCCTTTCGTTTTCCGTCGGTGGAGGAGTTGGAGGAGGCCGTGTAGCAGCTGCACCTTGCAGCCATTTACGTATATCCATTACTTTATTCCTTTATGTCCGACAGTCCGAGTTTATAGCTTCGTCTCACTGACTTGCTAATTGTGCGTGCATTTTTTGAAGTAATAACAACAAATCAAAGGCCGGGGTCATTGGTCAAGAAACACACCAATCACCAGTGAGCACACCTCAGGCTGTGTTTTTTTATTTATATTCTTTATTTCTGATTTATTTCACACAAAAAACATTTAGTGGAAACGTTTTCACTTATAATATGATAAATAAATAAAAAAAACGACAAAGTGGCAGGGCTTGCCTGGCCTGCGTTAGGGGGGGCACAGTGACTCATTTGGGGGGGCATGGCCCGCGAATGCCCACCCATGACGCCGACCCTGACTGTACGTAATAGTATTTGGTTATGGTATATTATTTATATACATCAAAGGCACAATGCACCCCCCAGAGACACACATGTATTGAGTGTGATATTTTGCATAGGTCATTTGAAATCATCTTTACATACTATAAAACTGTAGGAGCGGCAACTTGTTTTGAAATTGAATTTTTAATATCCGATAAAGTTGATCTGTTTTCTTTATTCTTCTCTCTTCCCAGCTCCATCCATCACCATTCTCTGTTCCTGCAGGTCCTGCTTGCTAATCAATGCTCATATTTTTTTACACAATTACAAATAAAGTCATTGTATTGTATGACATGAAGTTGTGCTTCATTCGGAGTCAATAATAAATTAATTCTGCCTTCA